GAAGGAAGCAAATAAATAGCATTAGGTATAGAATCGGTTCTACTGCCTAAATGGTTGGTTGATAAGGGAAACTAGATTTTAATTTGGCCTTTCTAACATCCTAATAACCTCTGTAGAAGTACTGAAATGTATTGATAACGCACAACCTCTCTGCTGGAGTCTATTAAACCTCCTTCAAAACTGGAGATGGGAAAAGTTTAGTGAATGAATTGAGGTGCCCCTGGAATAGCTCCAAATGCAGCAGTTACTAGGATTGATTAAGTCAGGATCCCAGTGTTTTCCATGAGTTTTGGGTTCAGTTTGTAACAAAGGTCTTGATTTATTGGTCACATACAATGCTGAATAAACCTTTCCAACTGCAACAATTGCCTTTTGCAGAAAGGAAAAAGATGGCCGAAGTTTTGGAGCCCTTCCATTCAATTCGCTGAAGACTCTCCAAGCAACTACTGACTTGTCTTCTGAGGCACGTTCTTCTGACCATTTCTATGCATATGATTGAAGCAGGCTATATATGACTAACTGTCCAAATGCCCCGGCTTAAAACAGAGGGCTCTCGTATTTAAAAAGTATGAATAAAAACTGTTCCATTCATTAGTAATATTTATTCCTAGGCTTTTCAGTAGTGCTGTTGAATCCATGACAATCCAGGGAACATGCAAGAAGCAAGATTGGTTTGGGTTACTTCTTTTTGCATTATCGTGAGACAAGCTTTTGGGTAAAGGGCACTTTGTGCTGGAAGGCTTGTCTAATGCCTCCCCCAATTGTATAGTTGGTCTAGTAAAATATATTCACCGCATTTTTTTTGTGGTGCATTTAAATCTTAGGATGATTTTGTGTCTTTTGTCAAATTGCTTAATTTTAAATATTGTTAAGTTATGACCATAACAAAGAAAATGGTGGAGGTCCATGGCTAGACAGTTAAGGAAGAGCAAAACCGCAGGCTCCCTTGCTGTGAGCTACACTTAATTCCCACTTTCTCTTGTCATTAACCTGCTTTTTTTTAGGGTTCTTGCTGGTGTTGAAGCAAAGTCTGTCTTGCTAGCAGGATTTCCATCATGCCGAGAGAGAAAACAATGTTGATACAATGTCTACACTCAGTTCTTCTTGCTATCTGTATTCTCCAACTCTCTGCTGTTATTACTTAGGGCAAGTATCTTCCTACAGGAGGTATTCTAAATCTGTAGGCATCGAAGTAAACTTTTGGCAGGCTTTTAAGGCTCTTTGCTAGGTTGACCCAGTTGGGATCAGACACAGGTAGGCAGGTGCTAGAACCCAGGTACCTTCCCTTCTTTTCCCTGCATTGGCTACTGCAGTGGTTCCCAATCTTTAGGTCACAACAGTAAAAAAACGGGGTCATTTATTCCCCGGGAGGGAGGCATAGGGGGGACACGTGCCCTCCAGATTTGTGTGGAAGGTGGGGGCAGATGCAGGCTGCCCACCCCCCAAGGCCTCCACAGTAGAGCGGGATGGGGAGGCTCCATGCTGCTGCTGGGAGCCCCCACTGGCTACGCTGCCATGGCAAGGTGCCCCCTGCCCGTCTGGCAGCAGCAGGAAACACAATTCCATGCTGCTGCCATTGCTGCTGGGTGGGCAGGGGGCACCTCATCATGGCAGCTTGGCCAGTGTGGGGCTCCCAGCAGCAACACCGTGGTGCCCGGAGCCCGGGCTGAAGTGGAGCCCTGAGCCTGCAGCCTCCCCAGCACTACGGGCTCCACTTCAGCCCTGCTGCCCATGAGGAAAGGGCAGGGGATGGAGCAAGGCTCTGGCCAGCTGGGGCTCAAGTGCTGCTGGGTGGGGGATGGGGCTGTAGACCCTGGCCCTAGCCCCATAGCCCTGGCAGCTGCACCCGCGCCCACCCCCACCCCCCCCCAGCAGAGCTGGTGGGGTGCTGTAGGTAGGGAGTGAAGGGCACCTGGGAAGGTAGGGGGCTGTGGGTTGGGAGTGAGGGGCCATGCTGAGGAAATGGGGTCATGCTGAGGAAACGTTTGGGAAGCACTGGCCTACTGCCAAAGCCCCATGTCCGGGGTCTGGATCAAATGATTCCATGGTCCAGATCCGATCTGCAGGCCCTGATCTAAGTTAAACAAGGTTCTTTGGATATCTTTTATTAAACCGCATCTACCCTTTGTTTTCCCTTTGGCCTTTTTTGTCCCCTGTTTTTCTTCATCTTCCCCCGCTTTACCTTTTTGTTTTTTCTCATTTCTACCCTTTTATATTTTCACTGACACCCTGTCCCTTATTTAGCTTCTCCCATTCCTGATCTCCAACTATTCCCCTTTTCACAGGCAGCCTCTTTTCCACCTTGGACTTTATCACTGTTTCATAGTTTGTAGGGTCGGAAGGGACCTGAGCAGATCATCAAGTCCG